CCACCGCACTTTTTTCCTCTGTCTGCCTCCACCTGCTTTCCTTTCCCGAGCAGGTTCGTAAGAACTGTTTATGGGTGGTGGTTTTGAATATGGCTGAGGCTTTTTGTGGGAGCAGAGGAAACCTCTTCCGTGATTCCCCGAGTCAGAGTGTGGCGGTGCCGAGCGGCTGTTCTGGTGCTGGAAGGTGAGCAGGCAGCGAGGCGCAGTCCCCCTCAGCCCTCGTGTTCCCTGTGCCTGGAGACGCTGCAGCAGGATTCTGGCAGTTTCCGGGCGCAGAAAGCAGGTCACTACTAACTGTGTAAGGGCCAATAAGCCACAGTAGTAGTAGGCAGTCGTGCTGCTGGGCATAACAGCTTTCTGGGTGAGACACTAAAACAAAGTCTCACCATTTTTGTTTACAAGAGCTTTAGCCTAACTCCATTACCAAATCCTACTTTTTGGTAATTTCTCCTAATAATAATTATAGCACCTTAATATATTAGTGGTGTGGCCTACTTCAGAGGTAGTTAAAGTGACAATTAAAACATTTTTGTCAGTAACAAGGCTGCCTTTGGTTTTTCGATGCAGAAAAAAAATCTTCACACAATTACTGAAGGTACAGCAGTACAGAACATATCTTTGAATCTACTTTTGAGAGGTTATAAAGTAAACCTATAGAATGGCTTGAATAGACCTGTTTCTGGGATTTCTGAAGGAATATTTTAATCAATCAATCATCCATGCGTTTGTATCCGCTGTTTTAGATGTGTATCAGATGTCTGATACATAAAGCACGGATTCTTTTTTACTGATAAAACTCAGCTCTTTTTGCCCTTGTGTCAGACAGACTCGTGTACTAGACTAGGCCAATATGAAGGAGCCTTCCTGAGCAGAACGGATTCTGGCACTCAGCCCGTTGCCTCCAAAAGCCGGTTTTGGAGAGCTAAAATCTTGTGAACCTGCAGCACGTTCAGGAGCAAGGCAAGTGAACTGCAGGCACTTAGAAAATGATGTTAAGACTTAAAAAAAATTATTTATGGACTATTATAATGTATCGTGGCATCGTGTTAGTGTGAAACCTGACCTGTAGACTTCCACTTTCCCCTTCAATTGCATCCTGACTGTTTTGGACTCTGTCTTGCTTAAAGCCACGTACAAAGGTAAAAAAGCTAAAAGAATCACAACATTATTTAACTTTGGTTTTAGGCAGACTGTGATTCTACTGTAATTTGTCCATAGAGTTGTTTGTGTAGTCACCCTAGATAAGTTCAGCATGCAGATAGAAGTACACTGAAAAGCTGTTTTCGGCTTCAGCCAATGTGAATGTAGGTAGGGTTCTTTGTTCCAATTTCATGTGCAGTACTGTCATTACAAGTGCAAAAAAAATAGAGTTGCTTTTCCTTTTGCAAGGTAGCGGAGACAGCTGCTGGTATAAACTTTTGGGTGTGCTGAAAGCTGACACCAGTTTCAAGTTTTACATGCCTTTTTTAGATCAGAATTTGGTTACTGATCATGTGGTTTCATAAGTGTGATAGTTGTGCATCTCTTGAAGTTGAACCATGATATATTTGATTACATCGTTACCAATAATTGTTTTAAGACTTACTTACCTAAAGAAAATGTTGAACAGACAACTTCCAAGCTGACTTTCACTGGACTAGCACGTACAGGAACAGTTCGTTAGTGCCAGTCTCCTCACAGGTCATCATCACCCACTTGCAGTATGTGCATTTCTTTGAGATTTTAATGCTAAGAGACAACTGAAGTGTCTAGTAGTGTGAGAGGAGTTTCTTCCAGCTTGCAGAGACACACCTGCGCACTCCCAGTACAGGAGGAGAAGAGACTTTACTGCAAGCAGAAGTGCGTTCTGTTTTCATCCGTATAAAACAGTACAAACGTTGAACACTTATGGATGAAGGAACAGAATACTTGGCCTTTTCACTTAAGCACTTCTCATGGTCTTTCGCTATTGCTCTACAGCATTTGTGGGAAAGTAATAAAAAGATAGTATGTCAGGAGACTTTTATGCACACTAAGGTGTGCAAAAGTAGGGTGTTTTTGGCTCCTGAAACGTTTTCAGAAATCTAGATACGTTTTTGCTTCAAGTTTTCTTTTCCTCCCCTCCATCATCCAAGATGTGGAAAACCTTACACAGGAAGCTGAGACAGCCCAAGCTGAAGTAGCAGTATTCCAGGTAAGCTGCGTTTCATGCAGAACGTATGTTTAACAAGATGCAGACGCAGATGAAGAAATGGCAGGTGTTCTGCCTCACGCAGATGGCTGTCCTACTTGAGACCAGACCCTCTACAACAGTGGTCAACTAAAGCAGGGATGCTTGCAGGCGTGCTGGCATTCATTTTCTGAAGACAAGTCTGCTTGTAGTGTTACAAGGATGTTTCAGTTTGACAACCACAGGACTAAGCCGTTTAGGATAAATTTTAAACTTCTACTTGCAAAAGAAGAGCAATTACGACTGCTTATTTTAGGAACTGCAGTGCTAGAATTCAGACAAAGAAGGGGAAAGCTTTGAAAGCAAAAGCAGCTTTTTCTCAGTAATTGGAAAATAGCCATGGTCTAGTTTAAGAATGAACCAGCAGCCCCTCTCTACCACTATAGAGGTGGTGTGCTGACCGGCAGGGGGGATTGTCTCTGCATCTAAGCAATGGGCTATACTGGACCAGAGCCTGACTTTCACATGACACCAACCCAGGGCAGCTGCCTGTGCGGTGCCTTAGCCCCTCATCACACAGGACTCCAGAGCCGGCATTCTGCCAGCAGGTAACTCCAGGGAAGCTCCCTCCTGCAGATACCACTTGTTCCAGCCAGGAGGATTGCTCTGGTAAGTGTCAGTTTACGACTTCTAACGCTTGGTGAGGTGGGGCAGGGACCAACCCCTCCACTGTGGGTGGTTGCTACATACACCTACCGCCAGGCAACGGTAGGATGTCACTCTTGGAGGCAGGGCATAACCCCCGTTGCAGTATGGTAACTGATAAATAACCCTTGCACTTCCAAACTACAAATGAATTAGATATAAAGTAGGTGTTAAATACCAACATACTGAGTAATACGTATGTATGTACAATTTATTTAAAATACTTTTTAACATACATATAAAAACCCCTCACTATTTATACAGTCTAAGTTCTAGCAACATATACAAATACCGAGCAACTACAATACATGCTGAGGTAAGAACATACATTCTGGGAGAATACTCAAGCCAAACAAAAGACTGAAATACATTTTATATCCATATGTCTTCACGTATAGAAGAGACCCATTAAATGTACCTCTGCTTGTATTGTACACAGGAGAATGCTAATCTTAAGTGTGTCACGCAACTTACATTTGGGAATCAATGTTTAACAGTTTGTACCATACATTTTAAACCCAACTGTTACATATTCAAACTTATCTTCTTAGCCCTAGCAGATAACAAACATGTTCAGAGTTGTAAGCAAGGAGCAAAGCTTAGGACCAGTTTCTTTCAGAAAAGGGACTTAAGTTCTTGAAAGGAACCATTCCGGTCAACAGCTCATGCTGCTCAGGAAATGAAACCGCATTACGGTTGCTTAAAAACTAACCCACTGTAGAGAAACTGTTTAATTAAATCTTACACCATCTTCACCTACAGTAAAAATTAAATCCGAGAGTGTTAATGTTACTGACTTGAACACATCCATTTATTTATTTTTATGGTAGATTAATTTTTCTCAGCCTAAAGTGGTACAGTTTGAGAATGCAGAGGTTTCTTAACTTGGCTGGAATAAATATGTCACATCATGGTGCAAACAAATAACCTCCCACACCGTTCAAATTAAATCAGCTCCGATAATTTTGAAGTCGCAGTTGCTGCTGATGGGTAAGAACACTTACTTACCTGTTCAAGCAAAACTACAAAGATTGCAGATGAGCTTTATCAAGCAGAAAAAGTTGCATGACATCAAAAACACAACTATAGGCAGGAATTTCTTTTTCATGAATGGGCCCTGTATACCACCCTTACTTACATTCACATTTAGGCTTAGACACCCAATTCTAGAAAACAATTATCACTCTCAATGAATTAGAATGAATTGGGCTTTAAGGTAGCACAGAGTATGTAATAACATATTCTAGATGTTGAACAGGCCACAAGTCATTTTTGTCTACTGAGTTTATATATAGCCCCTGTGCAAATAAATTTTCAAGTGATAAGTTAGGATACCGTACTGGTATAAAGACATGGTGGCAGCCCTCTTGAACGGTATTTTAGTTTCGATTTGCATGTTCTCCACCTAGTTTAAGGACCCTGGGCAATAAACAAGGCTGACTTGAGTTACATCACAGCAACAAACTGAAGTCCATAAAAAAACTGGGCTAGTGTGTAGGTAGGCAGTTTCACATGTATAAATTAATTCAGCATCCTCCCAACAGTGCTGTTACAATAAAAATAAAGCATTTTTATTGTGGGTTTTTTCTACTACTTAGGTTAAAAAGCTGTGCTTTGTTTCTAACAAGATAAAAAATGGCAAATATGACATCCAAATTGTGTTCATTTCGTGATTACCTAGCTAAACCTAGTCTGTGTTATCTCAAATAGAAGACTGACTGCAATGTTTTCATAGCAGAGAACGCTGGAACATTCAACGGATACAAATGCAATTAAATGCTTCTGAAATGGACGCTCTTTGGAACGGTACTGGTTCTCTTGCAAAGGTTTTGAAATCTTTTGGACTTCTAATAAGAACAACCACAAGAAAAGCCCTAAGGCCAAAGTTTTTCAGTTGTGCTAAAACGTACCGTATGTGCTAAATGCGTGTATAACACAAACTGTGCACCATTAGAATATTTGTGTGCTTCCTTAAGCACTCACAGAAGTATATACATATCTTTCTCTGTATAAGCTCACATCTTAACACACAACAACAGATACTCTGGGGGAGAGGGGTGGGCAGGGCAGGGGGACAGGGAGAGCCTTTCTGAACGCAGGCACCTCGAACACCTGGATGCTCACCTGGATGCTTCTCGCACATTGACCATCAGGGAAGCCTGAATTCGAGGCAGACGCTATTCAGAGTAGCCTTCACTTAGTAGGGAAAAATGTAAAAGCAGTTGCCACGTAGTTTGCTTGTATGACTTAGTCTGTGCATCCTGGATCCCTAGGAAGGAACGAGACTGAGCAGCTTAAGGAGATGAGGCAGACAGCAGATTCTAGTTTTGGAAGGCTAACAAAAATGGTGGGAAACTTCTGAGGAACACACAGCTGATGATTCCTAATTCTGTGAAGAAAAGCTAAAATAACGTCATTTAGAATCAAAGCTATTTTATGCCGTGAAGTTAATAGGATTTTTGCCATCAGTCCTGATTGATAGTAGTTTTTAAAGTCCAATGTTGTGCAGCCATTTTAAGAGGGTAAAATGAATTTTAGAAGCCTATAGTGCTTACATATAGATCTTAGAAAGTTAGGAGCTTTGGGTTTTAGGGGTCCCCCGTCCCCGCCCCCCCGTCCCCCGAAATAGTACCATTAGCAAGAAATTACTGGCTTTCGTACTTTACACTGTTTCTCCCAACTTATCATTCAAGTCTATGAATTGCTGAAGCTAATCTTGAAGAGTTCTTCTCTCATGTCTGACAGACAATTGTACAGTAGTAATAAAAAAGTCCACGGTTTTGCAGGAAACAAGCTGTAATTATATATACAGCTTAAGGAAAGGCAGAATTACTGGTTTCCCAGACCTCCAAATACCACATCTTTTGGTTCAACATCGTATTATTTAAGACTAACAATACCAAAACAATGCGATTAAAAAATGAAACCGTCAGCTTTATGGAACTGGCTTTTAGAAACAAGCCATCATTCTACCTTACTCGTGAGCTAACTTAGTTCATCCTTACTCCCAGTGGAATGGGCCACGCTCTGTGGTACCTGGTACACCAATTCGTCTGCGGCACCTGGCCCCGGTTGCCCCTTTGGTGTATCGTACAGCGCCTGTGCTGATGATGTGCTGTCTGTCCTAGATAAGAGTTTATTGTAAGTTCCAACCAGGGGAGGAGCTTGATTCCCTGCAGCTTTGAAAGTGGAAACGGAAGGAACGCCAAGAGGTGTGCTGGGATGGCTGGACATGTCCATGATTATTGGAGTTGCATATTCTGGTCCAGTTATAGGTAGTGGTTCAGCATAAGCATGGTAAACTTCTTGTATAGGTGAATTGTAAGGGTCCAAATCGGCGTAACTGGCTTCTTTCCCCTCCTCTGGTTTAAAGGTGGATCTCTGATGAAGCGTGCCGACAATTCCCCCTACCAGTGGCTGAGCATACTCTGTATCGCAAGCCCCAACAAAACAAAATAAAAACACACTTAACGGAAATCTTTTTTTTGCAGTGGCATCACATTAAATCCAACCTGTCAATAGTGTCACAGAAATTCTTATCCTAGATCAAACCAGTGGTCTGTCTCTGTCTGCCAGCGCCAATTGCTTTGGAAAAAAAAGCATTTCCACCCAATAGTTAAAGCCATTGGGATAGCTACAACACCCTGACTTCTCAGGTTTATGCTTCTTCCCTTGTGAGCTGCAATTTCCCATGCTGTAAATCTGCCTCAAAACAAAGTTTTTTTGAAGCATGCCTCCCTGCAAAATCAGAATTAAATGAAATTATCCTGCCTGGCTTTGGATAAAAAGTGGTCCTTGGGGCAGAGGGTTTGTCCTCTGAGGGGGGAAGCCTGTATGTGGTCAGCTGAGATGTTTTAGTTCAACAGATAACCTGAGTTACAAAAGCTGGAGGTGAGAAAGGTGGCTAGCTGGGCAAAAACAGACAAGCAGCCAAAAAAGAGAAAAGTAATTCTGCCTGCTGTGAAGCTGTAATTCCTGCACGACTGTGTATTTCTGCCATCAGCAGATAAGCACAGAACCAAAGGCACAGTCAGTCATCTTCCGCTAGTGACTGGTTCACCAAGTAAAGGGCTTATGCCATTATCAGTAACTCCTCCTTTTCTAGACCTGACTGATTTAATCCATACAGTCAGCACAGGGAACCAAATGCAACGTTGCAGATTTGTGCAGAAAGGTAATGGGGTGAAATTATTTCCAGTGCATGAAAACATGGCTAAAAACGTCCTTCAACCCTTTATGGGGTTTAGGAACAAGTACAAGCAAAGACACTTTCAGTTACTGCATTAACTTAACTTGGGAAAGTGTCTATCCACAGCACATCTAGTCAATTAATACATACTTTTACAATAGGCCGAGAACAGATCTGAAAAAGTTTGCATTTTAAGAAATGCACTTACCGACAGAACTATTCGTTTCTCCTCTGTTCCCCAAAACAAACAGGAAATAATTAAAAGTAGCCAAATTCCTGACATTTTTTGGCATTTCATATAGGTATAGGTTTAGATACAGATATTACATAGCCCACAAAAACAGTAAAATGTACCTGCAGACTCTGTTTGCAGCATTGTTGGGACTTCTCTTGGTCTTAGGTGACTAATTTCACTGCTGCTGTAACGTACGGGAGTTTCTTCATGTTCTGCTGATTTGGTCGGGAGAAACTGCTTCATTCCTTTCCACCATCCTTCAAATGGATTTTAAAAAAAAAAAGGAAACAACCACCTAAGACTGCATATGTACTGTGTTTTAAGCTACTGAAATATTTTTACACCACAGCTTATGCTTTGTAGTAGCAGGTATTTGCATGACCCTAAGGTTACAAGATATTTTAATATTTTCTGGCAGACTGAAGACTCGGAGGTGAAAACATTGCTCTCACCCAATCAACTTGCCTGAATGCTCCCCCTTCAAACACCTGCAGAACTGCTGCAGCCTAGTGAATCTCTCCCTGCATGTCCGTCAGCAGCAGTGCTGGGGCCACTCGCCACATTAATAAACTCATAAAATACAACACGGAAAATACTAAAAAGTCAGCCGTGATTCCAATTTGTAAATCAAATATTTACACAAAATTTCAGACAATCATCTCAGTTATAACTTAAGAGTACATCTATTTAATGTGGTTTCTGGCTGTTAATGTCATGTTTCTAACTCACATTGTCGAAAAAGGCTGATCAGTGAATATTTGCAAAAACCTGAATGAAGAGGATTTTAACTTTGGTGGAAACGACAAGGAGTGACTGCGGTCACGAACGTTTTCTTGAGAGAAGGTGTAGGGAGGGTTGGTTTTGTTAGGTTCCCCCATCCCTTCCCCCAGTAGCCAGAGCCATTCTACTTTTGCTGTCCATTAACGTATTTCATTTCCAGCTGTAAGAGACCATCCTGGAGGTAAAGCCCACGCAACAGGAGATTCAAAACCACAGAACACCGTTTAACAAAATTTGAGGTGGCCTGTGGGAAGGGGCAGAGAGAGGTTCCACAGAGAAGCGTAGCACCATTATTTTGTTACTGCCTTTCGCCAAATGTCCTTTTAAAACAGACCTGCACGCTGAACATTTAAATTTAAGCAAACAGGAAAAAAATCTGGCATGTCCATCACTGACGTTTAAATACAGGATATTTTGAGTCTAATATCCTAAGACAACAATGCTGTGACCTATCAGAAACGGACATGTGATAAATAAGGTCATTAAAAGGTTCCTTGTCTAAAGGATAAGGCATACTTAAAACTGCCAGTGAGCAAACACACAGATGTGGAAATTTTCGACGTGAGGACAGAGAAGTGAAGCACGGTCATACAGACAGTACAAACCCAGCTGCTGCAGCAGCCCTTTATGCTGTAGCACAAGCATTTTCAGGACACTTGCTAAGTGCTGCTTTGTGGAATTGTCTGACCCCAAGTTCACGGGGCACAAGACAGTGGGATGGAAAATATGCCTAAAAGGGGCTGCAAACAATCCTACGTGCTTACTAGGGCAACGAAGACAGACAAAACTTGACAGACCTTATACACTAAGATGAAAGATTTTTTCCAGGACAAAAAAAAGTACCAAATACGTGATTATCAAATGTATAGAGACGTTCCTCATGAACGATTTTTCCCCTCATGTTGTATAAGGAAGAGGTTCTATTCTTTGTTTACTAAAAAAAAATCTGAAGCTGTAAGCTCTAACAGCAGACAAGGCATTTCATATTTCTGAAAAAAGTTCAGAGAATGAAGCAGTTAAGTCTGTCCAGAAAAGAAATTCAGTGTTCACTGTGCCTACATCAGTTAATTAGCATTAGAGAAGCTTCCGCTAGTGGAAACCGTCTGTGTTAGTGCAATCTGAAATACGCATCAAACCAAAAATGCCAAGTAACGGATTTCATAAAACCATTTTGTTACCTGCACGATCCCAGTAAGGTAGATCATAAGTGCCCTCGGTTTTTTTCTTGCTGTGAAAAAAAAAGAAAAAGGGGGTATTTAGCATTCCGATAAAATGCATTTTATCGGAAGATGCATTAATTACTGCTCAGCAACTACCACCTTGGCTGTAACTGGTCCTCAAATTTAATGTCTAAGCACCAGGAACCTGGCTTGCCATCACCAGTCTGCTGCTACTGGAGAAACCAGTTTTCAGTAAAAGCACTTCTAATGACAACAGTTACAAAAAGCTGTTTTGACTGTCCTCGCTATTCAAGTGAACATTTTCTCACAGAGAATACAATTCTGAAAAAAAATCCTTCCACGAGTGTGGACCACGTAGTTCCCATAGCGATACATGCAGCATTTCATTCCCACACGCCAGGCTAGCATTCATTTAAAGCACTTTCATTAATCTATTCATTTACCGGTTTCTCCAATGCCACGCACAAACTAAGATAAGAATCAGAGTAGTGAAGACCATCACCAGCACTGGAACCAGAACTGCTGCCAATGCCACATCTGAAAGCCATTAAAGTAAGTGGTGTCAGACAGAAGAGCTTCTCATAAGGCAGTTTTTAATTTGAAAATTACTTGGGTAAAGCACACAGTTTTCACGTACAGCGTCTACCACACCAGGTCCCCCAGCTAAGCTACCCTGCTGGATGCTCCCGCAGCGTAAATGTCAGTTAACATCTAGCTCTTCTACATATATGCACAGCTGGTATTTTTGCAAGGTTTTTTCATCAAAATCAACAGATTCGTTTTAATGTAAGTAAGATTTTTCTGTTAGGACAATACTTTAGTATTAACAAGGAAAATCAAAAGAGCCCAGGAATATGCAACCACTTAAGCTTGAACCTCCTGTAAGAAGTAAATCCCACAGTACCTTGACAGTTAACCACAATCAGCCTACGCTGGGTCTGCGTGTGACGGGAGACCATCCTGTCCCCTGCCATCCAAAGGACACGTCACCAGTGCCTACGTCTGCAGTGATCTTGCTCCCTTTTCTGACAATTTTCTTTGGTAAACAAAATGATGAAGCCAGATGCTGTTTTTTGAATTTCATGCCCACACGACTGCTCCGTAAAAGATTAGCTACGTCAAAAGTGTTTTGTCCTAAGAAATTATCAAACTAAATAACAAAGCAGTTATACCTGATTAATTCTGAAGGGAAGTCCAAGTTGCAACTTCTCCTTCTGACAAAAATTGTTCAGTAGTTGAAAGCTGAGCTCAGTTTGAACAAGTTTCAAAAGATGGAACTTAATATCTATGAGACTTGGAAGACTGGTTTTGTTTCTGCATGCAGTATGCAACTGTACCCGGTTGACTCCAGTCGGCAACTGAGCACCGCACAGCCGCTCGCTCACCCTCCCCACCACCA